CCAACATTGATAGATTAAAGGCTTCCAAGTCTCAGAATCCTAAATCTCATTGGGATTTTGCAAGGCAAAATCTTATTCCAAGCCATCCAAGGAATCTTTCTTTCATTGTCTCTTTGACCCCACCAAAAATTTGCTATACTATTAAGCTCTTTGCATAACGAGGAGGATAATTTGAAACAATGCATAACATAAGTGGGTATTGCTTGTGCGACAACTTTAATAAGAATTTCTTTCCCAACATATAATAATTTCTCTTTCCATCCTTGCACTTTGGACCATACCCTTTGTCAAATAGAATGAAAATTTTCCTTTTTGACCAACTACTGAGGGTTAGCCAAATACTTTTAATGTCTGGAAACCTCATGGACTTGTAGCATATGAAGGAGAGGAAACTTCTCATCTTGACCGACATTTCTAGTAAATACAACAGTCGATTTTGACAAGTTAATCTTTTGTCTCGAAGCCCTTTCATATAAATGAAGACATTCTTTAATAGCTGCAAATACAAGACTGTCATCGACAAAGAGTAAATGAGAGAAAATTGGACCTCCACAACCAGCAGATAATTCCGTTATTGCACCGTTTGTTTCTACCATTTTCAGCAATGATGAGAGTCCTTCCGAACACAACAATAAAAGATAAGGCTATAGTGGATCACCTTATTGAAGTATCCCATTTTTTGCCATTTATTACAACAGAATATGAGGCAATATTCACACAAGTTTAGTTAGGGCCAAAGTCAGAAATCTTTTGCAGAGGGGGCAACTTTAAACTGATTAATAAATCAAAATTATAATAGTAATATTAACATTATTTTCTTTAAAAATTTAATTCTAATAACTTTTATAGGGATATTGTTTATGTTAAGTTGAGGTGCAACCCATGTCCACAAGTAATGTATGAAGCAAACCAATAAAAAATTAATGAATGTCCAATTAAACTGTAAGTCTTGAAATATAATTGTCTAGTAAGAAGGAAAATGAGAGGAAATAAGGATTGGATAGAATTTTAAAAATCATTTATTTTTGAATTCATTTTGTAAAATATGTTTGCTATTTTTAATCTTCAAATGAATTGATAGGGCAATTATCACCATACGTGCATCACACTTTTGCTTAGAGAGGCGGGGAAAAAAAAAAGCAACAGGACATAAATCCATAACTTTTGTTAGTCAAACAAAACACAACACATATAGATTTAAACTACTTCATGCCAAATCATAGAATTCATAACTTCCACCAGAAAACAAACACAATAAAACATAGACAAGATACATAGGATTGACATAATTTTATGCCAAAGCATAGAATCCACAACTCCACCAGACAAAAAACACTACAAAACAAAGATGGAAACGGTTGACTTTATTTTACGATAAAAATACTTAGATCATTGTTTACTAGTCGACGTACACGTACACCTAGCAACACGACCCAACGCATACCCATACCAATCTGCCAACGGGAAGGCAGATATAGTTAGAACAACAAAAGTAATTCAAGATATCTTATATGGAACTGGGACAACTATCATCCCTGTGGAGTCAACCTTCCAACATTATCCTTGAGAGGGAAGTTCTAAGGATATTAGTATCTATCACTGCATTGGCCACAGAGGGAAGTTTATTTGTATAGTGGGCAAAGGTAAACAGAGCAGATGTGGCCACAAGCATAATGACCACCACCAGCACAAAAACAACAACCCTCTTAGTACTCTAAATACTATTATCTTTACCAAGTACCTAGCTTTCTCTCTTGCTTTGCTTTCTTAATGTATGTTGTGCGAATGTTTGACGCCCCAATTCATGGGGGCCCTTACTACACGTTAAGCCTCATTAATTTACTTAAGGCCTTGGTTCCGGGGACCAATTCCAACGAAATTATGACAAAATCTCCTTTGTACGAAGAGCTCCACCCAAAATACAACATGTTTCTAGGTAATTACAATGACCTTCCAAGGTCCCATGTAAACATTTATACAATTCTCAAGCCGTAAATATTAACCAACAACTCCAAATGTACAAATTATTCATTTGTCAAAAGAATAGAAAAAAGTGCTCCATATTATATGCCTTTACAACAGAATATACATGTGTTATATAATTCCAAAAATACTAGGCTATCTAAGCAATTACAGTTGGAAGTAAGTATCTGCACATCCAAAAAGGAGCTCGGACTCCAGCTCTATCATCAAGCTGGGCCCACTTGCGGGCCATCCGCGGAAGCATGCATTGTACTTGAAAATGTTGACCAATAATGAGGTAAGCCAAAGCCCAGTGAGGTATATCTTCTAAGCAATATGCCTCCAAACTCAATGGTGCATATGATGGTAAGACACATTTGTATAAATCAAGTATTCCTATAAGTAACATGTGACATAAATAAATGCTACCAACAATGCGATGACATGAAGTGATGTTTCATTCATGCAAAACCAATCTCGAACCTATCCCTAGGTTCTCACGACATATATGATGCCATGCTCATGAACCGAGCCCTTCATGCCCACACCATTGATTTATGTTCCCTTGTGACCTTTCATTTATTATTTTTCCTTTATGGGGGAGTTAATTTATGGACTTCAACCAATTGGCTACCAAACTCACACGGATTTTGAGGATTTCCCACCCCCAGTTTGCGTACAGTGACACACTTTTAAGGACTCATTACACCACCGGCTAGTGTGTGACCGATATAATCGAGTCTTGTACTCAAGGGAGAATTTATCTCTTTTTTCTATACCTCGACATATTATCATGCATGTTCCCATGAGACTTAATCAGACTTTAGTCCAATTCTCAAGCCCCGCCCATTCACCTATGTGGTAAGTGATCAACCCATGTACAAACACACACTACCATGCCAATGCATCATGTACGTTGTGTTAAACCGGTGTTCATACCATGTATGTCCAATTGCAAATTAAATGGACTTACAAGCTCAAATATAACAAGAAGCATATATTTCTCATTATAGCATTTCATCAACATGTGATATGCGTTAGTAAACCCACATAACATACTTGCCTACACTATGGTATTTCATCAAACATGTAGGGTGCATAAATTTATACATATAACATACATGTCATAATCAACTCAACAACATGCTCATTTACTCAATACTACAGGTATTAGAATAATGAGCTTATAAATCCAGAAGAGAACCCACTAGCTACACTAGTCATATGTTAATTATACAATTAACATACATATAATTATACCAAATCACGTACACTAAATTGGAATTTAGTACTAGCTAGGAGTAAACCCACACCTCTTTGAAGCAATTGGTGATGAAGAAGTCCCTTGAAAACCGAAAGCAAGCCTTCTTCAAGCTCTAACCAAAATCCTTGATCCAAAATTGCTGGAAAAATAGTCAATCTTTGTGTTGTCGTTTTGTAGCAAACTTTAATTCTTGGTTGATTGAATTCAAATGGTCGGATCAAAAGATATTTGCAAAACGAGAAGGGGAAGTGGAAGAGTTCTTCCAAGCTATCTCTCTCTCTCTACTTACCGAAAGTTGCATGATTTGCAAGAACCCTTTATATACTGGGTGTATAATGTGTCAAGTGTCATCTTTTTAATGTTTGAAAATCCCCCAAAGCCAACCTCAATTTGACAAGAGTCAAGTGGATAAGGATTCTTTAATTATCTATTTAATTTATATTGTGGGTTCCGCGAATAAAAGCCAAGTTTCTGGAATTTTAATCGCGTATTTCGCCTCCTAATACTTGAAAATTTCAACTGTCTCAGAATTTAACGAAATTTATGCGCTCATCTCATTTCGCTAGACAAGTCCAATGATGAGACCTGTTTCATCACCCGAGTTATATCAAATTTCATTTTTTAACCTTGCTTAATTGGCTTAATTATTGTGTTACCCACCTAATCAATCTATTAAACTTTTCTGGTTTTCCATTCTTCCACCCTTAAGATAATTTCATCCTCGAAATTAAGAACACACGGAACAGATAAGATGAATGCACATGTGAATCTTGTTGTATGCAATAATACAATGTTTAAATTATATCTCCATCTTCAAATAAAAATGGATAGGTAGATCGTATAGTGTCCTCTCGCTCCCATGTAACCGTCTCAATACTCCGGTGTTGCCGCAACACCTTAACCAGCTTCACTGCCTTGCCTCGCAAAACCAATTCTTTGCTATACAAAATATAGACTAGTCCCTCCTCGAAGGCTATATCACCTACGTTGACTCCAGTGGTAATTGGCATCGAAACAACAAGGGTGCTTCCGAGCAAGACACTTCTTGATTAGCACCATTGTAGTTGCAAATATTTTGGTTCACAAATCTTACTCATTCACTGTTATAATAGATTATTGATCTTTGTGAACTCAAGAGGGATGATAGAAAGAATGCCCATGAAATCATTGACAATTTTGGCAACCATGGTCTACGATCTTTGGGTGTTGCACGATAGGTGAGTTGATGTGTATTATTTCTTCATAACGCTAGAGAATTTAGGTTGGCGAGCGTTGCTTCTGAATTAGATTTGACTGTTTGATATGCTCACAGACTATACCAGAGAAAAGCAAGGACAGTGTTGGTGGACCTTGGGAGTTTGTTGGTTTGTTGCCTCTCTTTGATCCTTATAGGCATGATTGTGCAGAGACCATTCATAAAGCTCTCGATCTTGGTTTCAATGTTAAGATGATCACCAATGACCATCTTAATATTGGCAAAGAGAATGGTCATAGGCTAGGCATGGGCACCAACATGTATCTTCATCCTTCCTACTAGGCTAGCACAATGATGAGTCCATAGCTTCCATTCCCATTGATGAACTCATTGAGAAGCTTGATGGATTTGTCAGAGTTTTCCCTGGTAAATTAGATCTTATTTAACTAAGACTTATTTAGTTGCAATGAATTGAGAAATGATTGCTCGTTGCCAATACATTTAATATCGATTTGGGCTTTTTAAGAGCAAAAATATGAGATAGTTAAGAAAATACAAGAGAGAAAGCCAATTTTTGTAATGGAAGGAGATGGTGTAAATGATGCTCCAGCACTTAAGAGGGCAGACATTGCAGTGGCAGATGCAATAGATGCATTTCGAGGTGCATCTGACATTGTATTGATCGAGCTAGGACTTAGTGTGATTGTGAGCGCTATTTTGGCTAGTAGAGCCATCTTCCAGAAGATGAAGAACTACACCATTTATGTTGTTTCAATCACAATTCATATTGTGATGAGGTTCATGATCATTGCACTGATTTTGAAGTTTGACTTCTCACCTTTCATGGTCCTGATCATCGCCAAATTAAATAATGAACCAGCATCACCATATCTAAGGATAGGGTGAAGCTGTCTCCTGTGCCCGACTCATGGAAGCTCAAGGAAATCTTTGCCACGTGGATTATCCTTGGAAGTTACCTTGCAATCATAACTGTGGTGTCCTTCTAGCTAGCATTTGACACAGATTTCTTTGAAGTAAGTTGAATTACAGTACACTGGTATAATCAAATTAAAAGCTAGCATTAATACCTTTATCATTTTGCGGAAAGTTTTTTATGCTAGATCTATCAGGAGAAATCCAAATGAGCTTACTGTAACTTTTTACCTTCAAGTGAGCATTGTGAGTCAAGCACTCATCTTTCTGACTAGGTCCCGAAGCTGGTCATTTGTTGAACAACCTAGTTTCTTGCTTGTTAGTGCCTTTATTACAGCCCAGTTGGTAAGTCTCTCTCTTTAATATGGAAATCCATGTTGCACCTTCCTAGTGTACTTGATCACAACACCATTTTACTAACTTCAATGAGTGATCAATATAGGTGGCTACGACCATTGCTGTGTATGCAAACTAGAACTTCACTAGGATCGAAGGCATTGGCTGGGGATGGGGTTGGAGTGATTCAGATCTTTACATTGTGTTTGGTACATGGTATCAGACCTCTGGAATGGAAGGTCATACCTTAGTAATACCATTCCTTTGTTTGGTTTGTTGGAATAAAATTTCATCCCCATTCCTAAAGAATAACTAATCCCATAAATAATGGGATTAACTACTTCCAAATAAAACAAGTATTATTCATTCCGTTATCGTCGGTAATCAGCCTAATTAAGTCAACGAAAACCGATCGAGGCCTATTCCTCTCTGTCTCTCACTCGTTCAGCCCCCATCCTTCCTATTCCTCCCTCTCTCTCTCTCTTACCATGTTGCACCTTCCTAGTGTACTTGATCACAACACCATTTTACTAAATTCAATGAGTGATCAATATAGGTGGTTACGACCATTGCTGTGTTTGCAAACTAGAACTTCACTAGGATCGAAGGCATTTGCTGGGGATGGGGTTGGAGTGATCTAGATCTTTACATTGTGTTTGGTACATGGTATCAGACCTCTGGAATGGAAGGTCATACCTTAGTAATACCATTCCTTTGTTTGGTTTGTTGGAATAAAATTTCATCCCCATTCCTAAAGAATAACTAATCCCATAAATAATGGGATTAACTACTTCCAAATAAAACAAGTATTATGCATTCCGTTATCGTTGGTAATCAGCCTAATTAAGTCAATGAAAATTGATCGAGGCCTATTCCTCTCTGTCTCTCACTCGTTCAGCCCCCATCCATCCTATTCCTCTCTCTCTCTCTCTCTCTCTCTCTCTCTCTCTCTCTTACCATGTTGCACCTTCCTAGTGAACTTGATCACAACACCATTTTACTAACTTCAATTAGTGATCAATATAGGTGGCTATGACCATTGCTGTGTATGCAAACTAGAACTTCACTAGGATCGAAGGCATTGGCTGGGGATGGGGTTGGAGTGATTCAAATCTTTACATTGTGTTTGGTACATGGTATCAGACCTCTGGAATGGAAGGTCATACCTTAGTAATACCATTCCTTTGTTTGGTTTGTTGGAATAAAATTTCATCCCTATTCTTAAAGAATAACTAATCCCATAAATAATGGGATTAACTACTTCCAAATAAAACAAGTATTATGCATTCCGTTATCGTTGGTAATCAGCCTAATTAAGTCAATGAAAATTGATCGAGGCCTATTCCTCTCTGTCTCTCACTCGTTCAGCCCCCATCCATCCTATTCCTCTCTCTCTCTCTCTCTCTCTCTCTCTCTCTCTTACCATGTTGCACCTTCCTAGTGAACTTGATCACAACACCATTTTACTAACTTCAATTAGTGATCAATATAGGTGGCTATGACCATTGCTGTGTATGCAAACTAGAACTTCACTAGGATCGAAGGCATTGGCTGGGGATGGGTTGGAGTGATTCAAATCTTTACATTGTGTTTGGTACATGGTATCAGACCTCTGGAATGGAAGGTCATACCTTAGTAATACCATTCCTTTGTTTGGTTTGTTGGAATAAAATTTCATCCCCATTCATAAAGAATAACTAATCCCATAAATAATGGGATTAACTACTTCCACATAAAACAAGTATTATTCATTCTGTTATCGTCGGTAATCAGCCTAATTAAGTCAACAAAAACCGATCGAGGCCTATTCCTCTCTGTCTCTCACTCGTTCAGCCCCCATCCTTCCTATTCCTCTCTCTCTTCACTGCCCATCGTTCTTCAGTTCTTTGGCCCCAATCCTTCTTCTCTCTTCTCCTCCCCTATGTAAGTTTTCCTTCATCAGCGGGAAGCATGGTGGTCCATCCCTCACTAGCCATTGTATGCTTTTTCCTCATCTCTTTGTGATGCAAGGGGCTAGATTGATGACCAGACAAGATTTGACATCGCCACTAATCTCTAGTAACTCTTCACTTTGTTTAGTCAACAATCTCAAATCATATTTAAGAATTTTGTTTCTCTATTTCCCATTTTTAATAATATGCTTGCCAACTATATGATAAAAGTACCCTTAGAAATGAGACAAAAGAAAAATAGGATTGAATGCTGAGTTTGAACGGTTACCGAGGCTTCTCTCATCTGCTCTAACAACCAGGAAAGGGGATATAAAGAGACTGGTTTATGGGTTGCATTTTTTTTTTTTTTTGGGTTTAAAGTTTTATGTGGATTAGGCATTTTATACTGTGACTTGGATTGCGTTTTTTTATGTTTTAGCTGAATATGTGTGAGTTTGTGTTTAGGGGTTTTAGAATTTGCGTTTTGGATATTTTTGCAGGGAAATTGAACTAGGTTTCATTGCAACGGCTAGGGTTTGGAGGGGTGTGTATTTGTTTGTGTGTGTGACCTCGTGAAATTTTCCCTACTCTGAGTTAAAAGAATTTTGGGATATAGAGTTGTGGGTTTTGTAAAGCAAAAAGGGGAGTTTGAGAGTTTGGGTCGGGTTGGTGATTGAGAACCAGTGACATTTTACTCATAAAAACTTCCAGAGGAAATGCCGCATCATTGGTATTGTAATGGTAAATGTTGGGCCTTTGTCAAGTTTCCATCTAATGTTTGTTTTGCTACTGAAAAATGCATACCCAGGTCCTCATTCTGAGAAGATATTCATTGTAACATGATACCATCTTAAGTATATTTTTATTGGTTGGTGATACCATGTGTCACAGATGACTTTGTATTACTGTTGTAATCAACACTTACTTCCTTATGCCCCCCACCCACAAAAAAGAAGAAGCGCAAATGTCATATAACAATGTCATAAGAGAAACAAATGTTGGTGATATACCCAAGTTTGTGTTGGAATCTAGAGGACAATCACACACTCAAAAAAAATATATAATGGGAGAAACTATTGAAGATTAGAAGAACTCTTTGTATTCACTCATATCCAAGTTGATGTATTACATATAACATATATAGACTCCCGTGACATACAAAATAACCCTACTACATAATGCAATAATAAAAATAATAAAGACCACGCTCCTCCATTACTTAGAGAATTAAAATACCACAATTATTTAGTCCCCCACTCATACCAAATTGATGACCCACTAATACAAAAAACTAAATGCATAAAAATAACTCCTAAAACATGAAAAGTCATGTTTAATATTATTTTTCCAACACCCCCCCCCCCCTTAAACATGATTTTTCTTCTCAACTCTAAGCAAACTTCTCAATTTGCAAAACACATCCTCTTTGAGTGGCTTAGTGAAAATATAGGTAATTTGATCTTGAGACTTCACAAACTTGAGCTCCACCTCTTTCTTGGTCACATACACTCTAATGAAATGGAATCTTGTGTCAATATTCTTACTACGATCATGAAACACCGGATTCTTTGCCAACGCAAGTGCCAATTTGTTTTCAATAAAGATCTCCGTCGATTCTTCTTGAGGCAAATGAAGTTCTTTCAACAAATTTCTAAGCCAAATGGCTTGAAAAATACATGATGTAGCCGTTACATACATAGCTTCACAAGTCGAAAGAGTCACAATGGGTTGCTTCTTTGAACTCCAAGCAAATGTGGTATCTCCCATGAAGAAAACATACTCGGTAGTACTTTTTCTATCATCCATATGTTCAGCCCAATCACTATCACAATAACTAGCAAGCTTGAAATTTTTAGAACAAGAATATAGCAATCCATAATCAAGTGTACCTTTGATGTATCTAAGAATTCTTTTCGCCGCCTTCAAATGAATCATGGTAGAAGCTTTCATATAGCGACTTACAAGACCAACACCAAAAAGAATATCCGGCCTTGTGCATGTTAAGTACCCCAAGCTTCCCACTAGGCTCTTGAAATGGGTAGGATTCACATTCTCTCGATCTTCATATTTTGACAGTTTTACACCACATTCAACGGGTGTGCATACCGCCTTATAATCTTGCATCTTGAATTTTCCAAAATTGCTTTAGCATAACCTTCTTGATAAATAAAAATATCTTCCTTCATTTGCTTCACTTCCATTCCAAGGTAGTATGACATAAACCCAATGTCAGTCATCTCAAATTCTTTAGCCATTGCTCTCTTGAAATCTTCAAACATTCTTGGACAATTTCCTATAAAGATCAAGTCATCCACATACAAACAAGCATAGAGTATATCATCATTATTATTCACCTTTGCATAAAAAGAAAGTTCATGGGGATACTTGGTGAAATTATTTGTTTGAAAGTACTTGTCAAGTCTACTATTCCAAGCCCTTGCTGCTTGCTTCAAACCATACAAAGCCTTTTTTAATTTCAGGACTTTTTCTCCTTGCCCTTTCACAACATAACCCAAGGGTTGTTCAACATACACTTCTTCATCAAGAAAACCATTCAAAAAAGTGGACTTTACATCCGTTTGATGAATTTTCAATCATTTAGAGTGGCTAAAGAAATAATTAATCTAATTGTTTCCAAACGAGCAATGGGTGCAAATACCTCATCATAGTCAATACCCGGTCTTTGACTATAGCCTCTTGCAACCAACCTTGCTTTATACCTCTCCACTTCACCTTTGACATTTTTCTTTGTCTTGTACACCCACTTCACTCCAATGACTTTTTGTCCTCTAGGGAGTGTGGCAAGC